GATAATTACAATTGACAGTGTTTATAGAGGGTTTGACACAACAGGAATTCTTTTATGAACTATTTACAGTTGATTTAAAATTATGCTGAATAACAAACACAATTTCGAATTTAACTAAAAGACAATTTATTAATAGTATTGACCAATTGAGCAAACAGAGTTGTTTTATTGTGTTTTTTACCAAAACAATGGCAACTTCTCTTAACTTTACTTCTTGGGACGCAGCAATGGCCCGACAGAATGCAGACTACATACCTCTTTACAATCAGCTTAAGAGCCTCTCTCGCCAGCGTGTAAATGAAGGCAACGTCGAGCTGTGGTGGCGACTGTCTTCAGCTGCCTACCACCTCACCCTTAACCTGGACCCTGTAATTGATCGAGTGGCAACGAGAATTCGTACGGCCGAAGCGAAGCGATACGCTGAGAGAGCACTTCAGATTAAGGCTGATCATGCTAACGCCCACTTGTGGCTGGCCATTTCACTGGGGCAAATGGCACTGCTGGAGGACGTTTTGGAGCGAGCAGTGGACTACGTGGGCCCCTTAGTCGGCCACCTGACCAAATGTCACGCTCTAGGCCTGGCCTCCAACTGGCGTCTTCTTCTGGTAGAGTGCAACATGCACCTGATGCTCTGGTACGGCCCGCCGGCCTACCAGGAAGCCGTTGCTCAGAATGCTTCTCACCTGCCCACTGGCCTAGTTCGACCTTCTCTGGCAAACATTGAGCAAAAGTTGCGTCAGGCACTGACAATGAGCCCGCAGTCCTTGGAAGTACACGGTTCCCTCATGACTGCGCTCATTTTTGCCGACAAACTGACTGAGGCAGAGAAAATGGGCAAAGCGGCGCTGGCCATAAAGCGGGCTGGGTATCGATCTGAAGAACGATTGGTGAAAGTGATTGAAGAGCTACTGATGATGATCAAAGGCAAACTTAGCCACTCCCCTGCCAAGTGATCAGCTCAAAACTTTAATCAGAACTACAATTAAATAGTATTTCAAATTGTGGTGTCAATGTCTTCAGATATCCTACGACAGCTGCTACTTGCTTTTGCACTGAAGACTGTAATTAAGTTAGAGTTAGTTCAGTAAAAACACTTACCATCAAGTCAAAGCAGTTTTTCTTGTTTGATGTCAAGCAGTATCTTTGGCGAGTGGTGCTTCACATCAGTGAAGTAAACATCAGAGTTTGCATTTTGTTGCTAATGATTTTTATCAGCACTATTTCTTCATTGGCAAATTGCCGACAAAGAGATATCTTTAGTTTTTCATGACACAAAAACGCAAAGTATAGTGATCTTAATGATGAAAAACATATTAGGTTGCACCAAAAAAAGATAATGATCATTTAGTGCAGATGTAGTTGGCAAGTTGATAAGTTAAAAATACGTACTGAAATAAAAATTTTAAATCACAAGTCACACGTCAAGGCAGATCAGTAAACATGGCTGAAAACAATTTGCAGTACATCGTAAAATCGACATTGCCTAGATTTGAGTATCCCAATGTTTCAGTCGCTAAATTCTTTGCTAAACGATTCATCGAGTTATCCAGTGACTCAGATTTAATCGCTTTTGTAAGTGTGTTTGTGAATTATGATACTTGATTAACTTTATTTTTGTCCCTAATGTGTAGATCGACCCAACTGGGCAAAGTCAGTTGACTTATAAAGAATTTTATCAGAAAGTCCAAGAACTCGCATACTCGTTGCTTCAAAAAGGCGTCAAAAAGTCAGATGTTTTTCTCTTTTTTGCTGACAACAGCATAGACCATGCTGTGGCCATTTTTGCAGCCATCTTCATTGGAGTCACTGTTACACTACTGCAACCGGCCAGCGGACCATTTGAGCTGTACGATCGTATTCAAAAAGCCAACATCACTGTGCTTGTATACGACTGCAAAAAAGTTGACGTCATCAGAAAAGCTTTGGAAGATGAGCATTTCCAAAAAAGCATTGCTCAACTAAATGTCTTCCTTCAACTGGACTCACCTGTACCGAGTGAGCTGCTGAGAAAACATTCAATTACGTGCACCAAGTCATTGATCACCTTTTCCGAGTTAATTGTGAGCGGGAAAGGTAAACAGCTGGAGAGAATACCACACTTCCTAGTGGACGACCTTCAAAATGATCACTTCTTGATTCTGTTCACAAGCGGCTCCTCTGGTCCGCCAAAAACAGCCATCCACTCAAATCACTCATTTCTAGCTATGCAAATCAATCTAAGCTACCCTGAACACTTTATGGGCCAGCGAATAGCCATACCACTGCCGTTCGGCCACATGTCAGGTTGCACTTACATGCCATTGGCGCTGAGTGCAGGCATGACACTAGTGCCACTGGCCACCTCCAATGTGGACCACATCATGGAAGTGATTGCCCGTCTTCGGGTAAACCACTACCTCTTTTCAGTGAGTGCCATCAGCGCACTGGTAGCGAATGATTACCCGGCAAAGTTTGACTTGTCCTCCCTTAAAGTTCTGCAGTACGGTGGCTCCAAGTTTCCTGCAAATATCCTTCGAGAGCTAAAGGCAAAGTACAATACTTGGATGTTTGAATGTTATGGATCAACGGAGTTCTTCGGCCACGTGAACATCCTCAAGTATGGAAAGCTGAGCTTTGATGACTTTCAGCCCGGTAATCTTGGTCAGGTTATGCCAAATGTTGAGATGAAGATTGTTGACTTGAAAACGGGCAAAACGTTGCCAGCAAATGAGCACGGCGAAATTTGTTTCAAAGGTTCACCATGTTTCATCGGCTACCTCAATGATGAAGAAGCAACAAGAAACACAATTGATTCAGAAGGTTTCTATCACAGTGGCGATATCGGTTTTTTCAATGAGGATCACTGCCTGTTCGTGACAGACCGAATCAAAGAATTGATTAAATACAAAATATGGTCCGTTATTCCAGCTGAAATAGAGGAGTTTCTCTACCGACACAAGGCAGTTGCAGGAGCTTGTGTAATTGGAGTCAGGCATTCAACTGATGGAAATTTAGTTAGAGCATATGTCCAGTTGGCTGACGGAACCGAAGTAGCTGAACAAGAACTGATTGATTTTGTGAAAGGTATGACAATGCTATTTTTTATTTTTTGTTAATCACTTTTTAATTTTTATTAGATAACATGGGATTTCAAAAACAACTTCGAGGTGGCGTTCGTTTTGTCTCTGAACTTCCTAGAACCGGCGTAGGGAAAGTTGATCGCCAATACTTTAAACAGTTGGTCAAGGATGAGCTAATTACCGAAGCAGTACCATAAAACAAATCAATTTTCGTTTGCAATACAACTGCTTTTAAGCTATTCAACAATTTCCGTAAGCAGTTCATCTTTCACTAAACGTTTAAAATGTTGTCTATCAATTTTACCAATTAGTGTTTGTGGCATAGCTGAAATGAACCTTACACCAGCCCTTAATCGTTTCTGTGAGCCCATGTTTTCTATGTAACAAAAACAGTTGCAAGTGTTAGGAAAATAATAAATCAAAATAGATCAGTTACCTGATACGTAATCGATCAACTGCTGTTCAGTGAGTGTTTTTCCCGGTGCCACTTCAACATAGGCACGAATGTAGCTGCCTTCGATGGAGTGGGGAACTCCGACGATGCACACTGCGGCCACTGCTTTGTGTCGAGAGATGAAGTCCTCGATTTCTGCAGGAATGAGCGAGTAGAGCTTGTACTTGATCAACTCTTTGATGCGATCGGTGATAAAGAGACAGTGATCCTCATTGTAAAACCCGATATCGCCACTGTGGTAAAAGCCATCCGAATCAATAGTGCTCCTCGTTGCTGCTTCGTTGTTGAGGTAGCCAGTAAAACACGCCGGTCCTCGGAGGCAAATTTCACCCTGTGCCAAAGCAGGCATTGCCTCGCCAGTGACCAAGTTGGCAATCTTCAACTCTACATTAGGCCCTGGAACGCCGACATTGCCCGGACGAAAGCACTGCCAAGTGTCTAGTGGGTGGCGCACTCGAATCGCTTGGAAAAATTCTGTCGATCCATACACTTGTTTGAGTGGCACTTTGAACTTTTCTTTGATTGCTAGCAGTAAGTTTTCAGGAACATTTGAGCCGCCAGTGCGAATGTACTTTAGTGATTTGAGATTAAATCTTTGTTCCCAGTCACCGGTTGCAAGAGCTCGTGCCTGATTTCCTGAAAACGTGAACACGCTGATGCGGTACTTTTCAATGTTTGCCATTAGAGGCTCCAAATCTCCTGAAGGCAGCAAAACTACAGTGAAACCTGATAGCAAAGCACGACAAAAGTTCATTGTTCCAGAAATGTGTCCTAGTGGATGCCAAATGGCAAAGCGAAAATTGGCTATCTTTGTTTCAATCGGCCTCATTATCCCTGCTAGAAATGAGCGTTGTGAGTGGCAGCAGCCTTTTGGTGCTCCACTTGTTCCTGAAATTACGGTTAATCATTAGAGGCTGAGGATTCGGATGATAAACTGTACCTGAGGTGAAGCATATGAGAAAAGTCGAATTTGCTGGGTCGTTTACGGGAAAGTACGGTATTTGAGGTAGTGTTGATTCACTCAAGTTCATTTGCAGTATCTTTTTCATTGAGTGTGCTTTACACGGCCATAATTTCATTGATGGCTCTTCCTCTGGCTCGTCCAGAGTGACAATCAGTTTTAGCTGCTCGATACTCTGACAATATTCAGTGGCATCTTTCATCTTCATAACAGTTGTTTTCATTTGTCGACTACCACAAATGAGAATGGTGGCACTGCATTGTGTCAGCTGTTGACTCAGCTCGAAAAGACTGCCATGAGCCGGAGGCACTGGTACGAAAACCAGTCCAAGGTAAATTGTGCCAATTAAGGCAATGGCATAGTCGATGCAGTTATCAGCGTAAAAGACTACGACATCGGTCTCCTTAACGCCCAGATCAACTAGAGCAGACGAAAACTTATTACATTTTTTGTTGAATTGGCTGAAAGTCAGCTGAAAATCACTGTCTGGTTTGATCTAAATTAGTAAATGAAAACAAAATTATCAATTTGAGTGTTTTAGACTTGTTGGCTCATTTTTACCAAAGCAATAGCATCCTTGTCGGTGCGTTGTATTTCCGTGGACAAGTATTGTGCAAAGGAAATTGGTGGAATTTCAAAATTAGTTTCAGATTTAATAATGTTCATGGTGTTTAATTCATTTGCCTGCATCTTCACTGATCAGCAAGTAAAGATGATGTGGTAAATAAATCATTAGTCAATGCTTAACACAACTGCAAGAGGTACTTTTCTCTGATTTGCAATCATCGAAGCATGATGTTGTGTTGAATAGTTGTTCATTCATTATTTGATCAGCACCCACACAAACAGTATACTGTCAATGTCATCGTAGCACACTAGAGCTTGTCGTGCACAAGCTTCCGATGACATCGGCAATCAGCTTATGAGTGCTGCTGCTGGTGTGTTTGTTCAGACGATTGCACACATAAACAGGAAAATGGTAGTCAGAACATTGCAGCTATTCATTGTTTGCTGTCAAACTTTTTGCGCATTCAGCTACCAGTCAACAAAATGGTTTAGTGGCGCCTAAGCATTATACTGGAGCAAACTTGCTCACAGGTGTAAATGAATGAATTTACAATAATAAAATAATAACTTGTTAAATTTAGAATTCAGGCCCAGGCAGAAAGAGAGGAAACAGAATGGGCCGCACTTTTCAGCCACAGAAAAATGCTTAACCTTTCGGCGATGAAGATCCCGATTTTGGCTTTTCAGTAGGGTCTGTCTTCTTAACAGGGCTTGGCTCTTTGGCTCCAGGAGTGCCAGCGTCAGGCTTCTTCTCCTCAGCTTTCTCAGGAGCGGCCTGTGCCTGTTGTGGTTGCTGCTGCTCATTGCCCGAAACATCCAGCTGCGGATTGAAAAAGGGATCTTGTGGGATGGCGTCGAAATTGGTACGCACTTTGGTGTTGGCGCGCATCAGCCCAAAGAGAAAATACTTGGCGTTATCGGAGATGCCCGCCGCGGAGGCAATGCTGTTGCGAATTTCGCCATCAATGCCAACGGTCGCCACTGACTTGAGAGCAAATGGATAGGTGGCAGTGGCCATGTAGAACAGGGTCGCGCCCAAAGAGAAAATGTCAGCGTCGAGAGGATTAAAGACTTCGTCCTCCTTGCCGAACACCTCAGGGGCGCGGAACCAGCCTCGCTGGGTGAATTTGTCCGCCGGCAGGCACTTCTGATAGATGATTTCCTTCTTCTCCGCGTCCCAGTAGACGATGGCATCGCGAAAGCTGCTCAGCTTTCCGGTTATGTTGCCCTTGTCGTCTTTGAAGAGCATAATGTGCTTCGGGTGAATGGAGAAGTGGCAGCAGCCAAGACTGCCTAGGAAGTCGAGGGCAGCGTAGACGGCTTTCACCAAATTGAAGAGCTGACTTTCAATGAGCACATTGCCCATGCCCACCCAGACATTGCCATTGCCAGCGTTGGCCAGCTCCTGGAAGAGCCAGATCTCCTTGCTGTCAGTGTCCACAAAGATGTCCATCGACTGGACGATGCCGGCAGCGTCCTTCCCAATGCGACGCAACAGCTTCAGGTACATGGCGTCAGCGGTGAGCTCCGATGAAGGCTTAAAGACACGAGCAATCAGCTTGGTGCTGCCATGCTGACTGCTGTTGCTGCACTCGTTGATGCGCGAGTGGTACCCAGCAAAGATGACCTTCTCCGCGTTAACGACGTACTTGCTAAAGTTGGGCGAGGACTTCAGTGGTTCAGCGCCATGTATCTTTTTCAAGTTTTGCACCTATTGTGAAAGAGCCTAGTTAGAAGAGTCGCAAGAGAAACGAATGATGCCTCCGCACTGACCTCAGTCGAGAGCTTCTCACAAATGGCCAGCACTTCAGCCTTCTCATGAGTCACCGAAATGATCGGCTCGTTACTGTCCACTTCAGTCTGGTTGGGATCATTCTCCAGGGTCGGAGTCGAGCGCACCTTTGCCGGTGGGCCAGGCTTGTCGATCAGCTCATTCCAGTTGCTTTGGTAGAAGGGCATCTTGGTGGGCAAATCGGTGAGACTTTCGATAACAAAGAGAAGGTTAAGTGCAGAGTTTTTTCTACAGCAGCTGACTGGCCAAATTCAAATAAGTGAATGAGAGTGTGACGTGGTAAAAAAGCTTTCAAATACTGTTGGACGCGTCATCAAAATGAACATTTCGAATTTGCTCCGAAAACAGTGACTTTTTTCTTATTCATCGAGTTTAATGAAAAATGGCTTTCCAGCTATCTTCCAAATCATGTACGCCTGAAGTAGCATGAAAATGGTAAAGGAAGTGGTCAGCAGTCCTTTGACGGAGACGTTGAAGAGGTAATTTCCCTGAAAGCAAATCACAAGCCATACAAACAGAAGAATTTGGTAAAACTTTCCAAAGAATGAGCAGTGCATTCCAGAAAGGAGCCACAAGTTGTACACTACATGTACAGCTAAAACTCCTAAAATTCCTTTGCCATTCCACTGAGAGAATTGTTTGCCTATGTCAAAGACTATTGAAGAGAGAAAGAGAAGGGCCAGACAGGTGCGGACCAAGTTGTAGCTGAGTCGAGAGAATGGCTTGTAGTTGTCGAATGTTGGCCTTGGAATTGGAGTCAGAGAACTGAGTAGTTGAGAGAAAAATCTGCAAATGAAAGTGCATTACAATTTAGGGAAGGACTACACAGTGAAAAAACGCATAGGCTGTACTCATTAGATCGAATTGAGTTGTAGCACATTGCCATGTAGACGGCCGCAAAGATGCTCGCTGAAGTGTGCGTCAGCAGGTAGAGGTCATTTCTCTTCAGCATATCAATTGCCATCAACAGGCGAATGAGAAAGAAGACTGCCAGACTGGTGAACTTTGGTCCCCAGATGCCGGTCAGACCGAGGAACTGCACCATGAGCATACAGGTCAGATTGAGTGCACAGTCGTGACTGCCCTGGAGACGACCTCGCCGGTGTATCTGCCAGTCAGCGACCAGGTGGTAGACGATCTCCACCAGGAGGAAGCTGCTGAAGAGGAGGCGCATGAGGTGGAAGGCACAACTGGGTGGACTGTTCTGGCAGCCAGGGGCCAGTCCGGTGATGTAGTCACTGTCCAGTTGACCAAACAGCTCCCTCAGGTGCTGCTCCAATTGAATCACCTGGGACTTGGTCGTCTTCTTCGCTGTCACAGACTGGACATCACTTGTGAGCTCTTCCTGACCACTAGTGGTCGAAGTTGAGGAGTGCTCATTTGCTAGCATAGACATTGATGTTTGAGAGATGAGTTTCATAAAGAATTAAATGGCAGAAGTTTATTTACTTGTTTGCAAACAGACAACGAATTCGGTAAACAATCTTTTGAAGTTTTATTGTTTACTTTGCTTTCATCTTGCTCTTAGTCTTGGATTTCTTTTCTACTTTAACTTCAGACTTGATTTCTTTTCCTTTTGGCTCTTTTGGCTCTTCAGCATTGGCTTCTTTTGCTATTAAAACCTTTTCTTCTTTTATTTTGACCTCTAACTTATCGAGAACTTCGTGCACCTTGATTGCTTCTTTGAGTAAGGCCTCACTTAACTTTATTTGTACTTTCGCTTTGTGCTGAGGCCGTTTTCCAGTGTTCTTTCCACCGCAAGAATCTCCGACACCAGGAACTTCGGTCTTCTTTACAAGGTCTTTAACGAAATCATCGCTGTAGAGAAACTTTGAGTCTTTCAGCCATCCTGGCGCTTTTCCCTTACATGCCGCCTTCTTTTGGTCTTTTTGTTTCTTTTGATCTTTGATCTTTGCCTTTTCCACCTTTTCCGGTTCTTCTGCGCCTTCACACTTTTTTCCTTCGCCGGTGTTTGACTTTTCAGTTTTGCCAGGTGCCATTCACAAAAAAAAATTTATTAGTTAACAACTTACCTTTTTGCATTACCCTGAGTCTAAAAACGAATCTGAGGCATTGTTGTTTAAACAGAATCAATCTGTCATTTGGGAACTTCCTAATTCCCAAAGTAAAAGCGGCAGTTTTGAAAACATCTTTGCCGTACGTCTTCTGTGAAATGTTTTCATTTTAGCAGCCAATCAGCGATGAGCGCTTTCTTTTATAACCGCCACAATTTAAAAGTCCCTCGCGCTTGCAGCAAAACAACCGCCCAACCAACCGCGCTGCTGATGTTTTATCCTGCTCTCAACGTCCTCATCCGTTTTACCCGTTTTGACCATTGCTGATAATCACCTTCACCCGAACCATGTACTCGGTTGGGAGAAAACGCCTGGGTGGCACGACGCCCGGTTACAGGGCTACGAAAATCGCAAAGACTGAAAATATCTTCAACCGCATGAAAGTATGTGTCCGTGTGCGTCCGCTTTCAAAGAAGGAGACTGCATCTGAAGCGAAGAATAACATTGATGTTATCGACACAAACATGATGGTCTTTGACCCCCTGGTATCTTCGCCTAAGGACACCTACTACTATCGCGGCAAGAACTACAAGGAGATTGGCAAACGCGCCAACAAGAACCTGAACTTCGTTTTTGATCGCGTCTTTGATTTTCACGATAACAACATTGCTGTTTACCAGGAAACGACAAAGGATCTGGTGGACTCGCTGATTTCTGGATTCAACTGCTCTGTTTTTGCTTACGGAGCAACTGGCTCGGGAAAAACACACACCATGCTCGGATCTTTAAACGACCCTGGCATCATTTTCTACACAACAATGGACCTTTACAAAAAGCTGGAAGAGAACGGAAACAAAAATTACGAGCTGAACATTTCTTACTTTGAAATATACAACGAAGTTTTGCACGACCTGCTAGATCCCAACTCGCGACAGGCACTTACCGTCCTTGAAGACTCGAACAAGGGCATGATTATTAAAAATTTGAGTTCTCACACCCCTCAAAATGCCGACCACCTGATCGAAATGATGGAGTATGGAAACAAAAATCGAAAACAACATCCAACCGATGCCAACGCTGAGTCTTCACGCTCTCATGCCATCTTTCAAATCAATCTTCGCCTGAAGAAGTTTAACGATTCTCAGGAAATGACTATCCAGGATTCCAAAATGAGTCTCATTGACTTGGCTGGCAGTGAACGAGCCACAGTGGCCTACAAATCGGGCAGCTCTCGGACCACGAATCTTTGTCGTGAGGGCTCAAACATCAACAAATCTCTTTTGTCTCTTGGCAACTGCATCAACGCTCTCGCCGATCCCAATGGCCGAAACAACTATATTCCTTACCGAAGCTCAAAGCTGACGTTTATATTGCGCGACAGTCTTGGGGGCAACTGCCAGACTTTGATGATAGCTGCCGTATCGCCCTCCTCCACACATTACGAAGAAACCCATAATACGCTTCTCTATGCAGAACGTGCTAAGGGTGTCCAATTGAACGTACGAAAAAACAATGTCACTGTAAATGTGCAACCTCGCGACTATCGCGCGATTATCGAGCAGAAGGACGCAGAACTGATCAAAACGAAAAAGATCATTGCTGAGCAAAAGCTGGAAATTGAGCGTCTAAACAGTCAAGCCAATTGCTTGCCAAACGATCCGATTGTCTCCTCAGGCAAGGCCATTGAAACGCTTCACATGGTGAAAAATACCCTCGACCACTTGTTTGACCGCCGAATGGAAATTCGCGTTAATCTGCTTGATTGCGAACACCAAATTAAGTTAATTAACGTAAGAAAGCATCCTTAAAGTGTAAATTCAGTCATTAACTATTTTTACTTTTCCTTTAGCTACAACTTTTGTACCGAAGTCAGGACAATGACCGCATCTCAAGATTGAATAATGAAGTTGAATCAGACGAACTGAAGGCCAGCACAAGCGCTTTTTCACATTTTCATCACAAGAAGCTGCATTTTGTGAACAAGCAAACGGATTTGCTAAAAGAACTTGATAATGTCGAGGAGAAAATTAGTCACTTTGAAACCGAATTGATGGAAAAGTTCAGGGAGGACATTGTCATTCGAGCGTACTTTGACAAAAACAATTGTCAACTGCAGGCAAGAGAAGTGACTCTGGCTGAAGGGCATATAAATAGCGTTCTGGAGAATCTCTTTTTACGTGAAGAGAGCAATGAAGAGGTACTCACTGAAACATTCAATTTGGCCCATCGTTCCTGTTGTGTGCTTAAAGCCCAGGGACTGTTGTCAACAGAGATGGACAACAAGCTGAAGGATCTTGTGCGCAAGCTGGAGGGCAAAAAAGAAGTCAAGTGGCGTGACGACATTGTCACACCAAAAGTTGAAAAGATGAGCGAAAAGATCAGTCTTGCAAAGTTGCACGTTTTCCTCAACGAATTAGAGTCCCCGAGAGACAAACGAAGCTTGGAATCCATTCTCGACATAACTCCACTGATTCATAAAATCAAGTCCAATTGATTCATTAGAATGGTTCATTGATTTCCTTTCATAATCATTCAATGTTACTCTCATTTATAATTACTTCTTGCAAAGCTTTGAGCTATATGAGTAATGCACCTTTATGTCATTTTTTAAATTTTTATACGCCCATTAATCCGAATACCATTTCCTTAATTTATTGAACAAAATAAAAAGTAAGCACACTTTCAATCATCAATGGTAGGTGGCCAGTTGACGTTCACCTCCATCACGTCAAGAGTAATAATGTCCGCTTCACAGTTTCCCAGCAACAGGCAGAGATTGGGAGTAGTGCGACCAAAGTCCGAGTGGACAAACTCTTTGATGTAGGTGCCTGCCTCTGATGTGAGGTTCAGCTTGAAAATGCGATCAGCAAAGGGGCGATACTTCTCCTCCAGGTCGTTCACCGGCGCCACTTCGGCCCACATTTTGTACACAGACCGCTTTCGGTCAGAAAGCGTCCGCCGATGGAGCACCCGAATTGGGGTCCACTGCGTCAGCACCAGGTCCTTCGTAGCCGCTACTACCGAAAAGTCCTTCTCGGTGTATGGCCTGGTTAGGCAGCACAGTGCCTATATAAAAACAAAGAATTTGTTAGGAGTTGATTACAAAGTTGAAATGAACAGAAAGAACACNTTCTCGGTGTATGGCCTGGTTAGGCAGCACAGTGCCTATATAAAAACAAAAAATTTGTTAGGAGTTGATTACAAAGTTGAAATGAACAGAAAGAACACATACCTGATATGTCTTTGTCTTGTCCTCTTCACCTTCCTTCAAGTACTTCTGACACGCTCCCCGGTCGACAATCTGCAAATCTCGCACCTGAACATCATCGTACGACTTGTTGATGAACGTTTTTATTTTATTCATCGTATCTTCGGTGGTTAGTAGGCGAGGATGCAGTATCTCCAGGAGAAATGGTCTTCCGCGACCGAGCATTCGCACGTCAACGTCCTCTCTGCCAGAAGAACTGAACTTGATGTCCTTATAGCTGATGTACTTTTCGACGCCGCTGGTTATTCTCTCCTGAACCGAGGACTTGATCATCGCGCCCCCATCAGTGAACCACGGTGTTTGAGAGAGTTGTCGAGAATATTTCAAATATCTGCCCGCAATGTAGAGAGGCTCATTTTTCAGTAAAATCTCCGAAATGGTGCATTCTTCACGAATATCACCCAACTTGAGCTGGCAAATGGAGTCTCTGCTCAGTTGATTGATGACCCGCAACACCGAGGAATGATTCACAAAAGCTTCTGCGCTCGATTTTCGGCATTTTTTCGCAAAAAAGGTTTCCGGTGAAATGTCTACCAGCTGGCCACACTCTTTGTTCCCCTCAGCATGATTAAATGTCACCTCTGTTAAAAGTGAAAAATCATTAGTTTTTTAAAAAATGAAATTAAAATCAATTGAATACAAACCGATGACGAAATTGGAATCGCTTTTCAGCTCGGCATTCATCAGCACTTTCAGTTTAGCGACAAGCAAAACCTTGAAAAGCTCTTTAATGCTCATGACATCTTCATCTAGCAGGTTTAACTTTTTTTGGAAGTAAGTGTTTCTTAACGTCAAGGCGACCGGCAAAAGAATTTGCAGCTGAAAGCTTTCTTCGCCATCAAAGCCATTCTCTTTGACTTTGGCGTAGATTTGGTCACTCTTTTCACTGGCAAAGCTATCAGCCAACACGTTGAGACAGGAGCTGCAGAAACCGTTTAACTTTGCTTCAATGGCAGAGGCATCTTCGGGTGAGAGCACTGAGATCAGATCGGACACCACCTGGTCGTAGCTACTGCTTCTGCAACTGGCGAACACGTGCCTGACGTTACAGTACCGGAGAATACATCGAGCACATACATTAAACTGGTCAGCGGCAAAAACCCTCACCAGTTTTTCAATTTGTGCCTTGTGTAAGGCCAGTTCTGTGCGATCCATTTTGAAATGCCGACCAGAATCGTGAAGTCTTCAAGAAACGGCAAAAAAAGTCAAAACAGAACACCGCACGTGGGAAAAACAACTTTTCGCCAGTCTGCGGGAAGATTTCTCTTCTCTAAACACGTGGGGAGATTTTCAGTTTTGGTTTGCCAAATTACTCACGTGTTCTGGTGGATTTGTATTCTCTAGCAAACCTGTAATTGATCCACCATGTACAAATCAACTGATATCCTCGTTCACAGATCTCGATTCTTCAACGCCGAGTTGCATTCCATCAACAGCATTGCCTTCAATGAGAAAATCCAAAAAGCAGCACTACTAAGGCGGCGGATTCGCAAGTTTCAGCCTTCACAAAATGATATGCACAGCGTTGTTGAAATATGGAATTTACAGAACAAAGCCTCCTTCTTAGAGCAAGTCATTTGTGATGATTCAGACAATCTCGCCCTACTCGAGGACCTGGCCTGGTCCGAAAGCGGTCGTCTTTTCTCCTGCGGCCTGAACACCTATGTCAATGAGTACGATCTCGAGAATGGGCGCGTCAAACAGTCAAACTGCGTCAACTCCAGTCCAGCCTGGTGCTTGGCACTCAACGAAGTCGACAGTTTGCTTGCTGTCGGCACCGAGGACGGCCACATCTGCGTGTACAGCGTCCTCGGTGATTGCTTTCAGTACGAGAAGATCGTCGACCGGAATGACAGCCGAATTCTCTGTGTGCAGTGGTATTTTCCCGCGGGCAAACACGAGGCCATGCTCGTTGGAGGCAGCATCGATTACATCAAAATCTGGAACTACCGGAGCGGTCGCTGCACTGACTTCATCAAGGTGGGCAACACTGGCGTAGTCATCTGGTGCCTCAAGGTGCTGCCTGACTTTACCATCGTTTCGGGCGACTCCAGCGGTACGACATCATTCTGGAATGGCTCCAACTGTACACTGAACTGCTCTTTTAGAGCGCACAAGGGCGACGTCCTGGCGGTGTGTGCCAGTGAAAACAGTAGCTATGTGTACTCTGCCGGCGTCGACCCAGACATCATTCAGTTCAATCGCAAGTCAGGCAAGCTTAATTCCTGGATCATATCCACCACCAGACGACCTCACACGCACGACGTCCGCTCACTGGTGACCACCGCCAGCAATTGCCTACTCAGCGGCGGCGTGGACAGCTTTTTTGTGCAGACGAGCCTAGGGCAGTCCATGAAGAACCTGCAGATTGACCACCTGAGCAACTTTGGACACAAGGTGACCACCATTGCCACTGACCGAGGGAACTACGTCTTCTTTCAGTATGAAAAGTTTTTGGAAATGTGGAAGATGGGCACACCAGAGAGCGATCTACCGGAGCACGTTGGGGGCGCCAATTCGGTGCAGGTGACGCCGCTGAAGATTGCCGAGAACGCCGTTCGGCTGCTGGAGATAAAGTCACGGAAGAGCATCATGACGGCCACTGCCAACAGCAAGTGGATCGTCTACGCCAATTTTGACAACATCAAGGTGCTCCGCTGGGGAGAGGAGACGCCGCTTCAGAAGGTGAAAACGCTGCACGACCCAATACCGAACATCAGCCACCTCTGCCTGAGCCAGGGCAGTCGTCTGGTGCTGAGCTACGGGCGAACTGTGGAGACGCTGAAGCTGGACCAGTTTGGCGTGCTTCAGGAGTGCTCACTGCAGCTGCCGGGCCGAGTCAGCCGACTGGTGACAGCGGCCGACAAGGTGGTCGCCTCGCTGGCCGATGAGCAGAGCAGCATTGTGGTGCTGTCCAGTGACAGCCTCACCCAGCTGGCCTCCTTCTCCGCGCCTCTCCTCCCCACCACGGTGAGGGCGAACTGTCTGTGGGAGGGACAGCAGCAGCAGCACCTCTGGCTTGCCCTGCCCAATGCACACCTCCTCCAGTATGACCTCAACTCGCTGAAGCTGCTCCGGTCGTACACGCTGGGCAAGTTCAAGTCGAATGAGAACAGCGAAGGCTTCAGCGAGTACTGGCCCATCAAGCAGCTGGCCTTTGGCGAGAACGTGGTCATGTACAGCACCGACCACAGTCTGTACTGTCTGCAGCTGGCGAAGCAGCGCATCACCAAGTGCAACAAATACCAGCACGTCGCCTTCATGGACAACTTTGGCCCGCAGGAGGCGGTTCTGGTGGAGGTGACGCCGCAGATGCTCATCAGCAAACTCCCGCCCACCATCATCACCAAAACATTTGGCACGTGAGCTGTGGATGTTCTTTTTATTTTTGGTCACTACGCCATTTCATTATTGTCACTTTTATTTAATTTAATTAAATCAATGTTTTCCTCAACATGGAAGTGAGAGCGCAACACAGCTTTCCTCCGCTTGTGGTGCAATGAAGGTGGCGTGAATCTGTGCACTACTTTACGTGTTGTGGTGTTTGTGTGCTGTGTGCTGGTTGTGTGTGTGTGTTGGGCGCCGTATGTGGCGCCCAGTAGCTCCCCGCAATATCGCCTGCTTCGATGCCCTACTATAGCAGACTTTGGCTGCAGCTGTTGTTGCCTTCTCCTCTGGCAGCAGGAGCAGTTGTACTAAGCTGTACAGTTACTGAACGCAAAAACGCTTTCCGCTAATCGGTGCCGTTGTCAGCAGCAATTGGGTGCACTGCTCCAAAATGCTGCTTCAACGCCAGATAGCTGCCTTCTAACCAGTGTGCCACCACCTACTGTTTGTTGTCCACTTTACATCGTCGTCGTCGTATGCTGAAGAAGCGTGTGCCAACGGGTCAGCAGAGAAGGAGAGAAGGGGAGACAAGGACATAGAGTCCTTTCGAGGTGTGAACGTCCACTGACCGTAAGCCAGCGACCCATCCGTGCCCTCATTAGTGCCGCATCATGCGAATCTCCGTCCAGGACCTGCTCGCCGAGCTGGTGTCCATCTCCGAGCGGTCGGCCACCATTTCACGCCTGTGCCGCAGTGACGGCCTCTTTGAGCTGCTGATCCAGGAGAAGACAAGTGACAAGGGCAAGAATCCACGCTTTCGGCACGACTTTAAGACCTTTGCCGATGTGCTCATCCAGGAGGTGGCCAAGTACTACCTCGAGAGAAAGGTTAGCAGGGCGTTGACTCAGTGTTTTGACCATTGCATATTCACGGTTCACTTTTCATTTCAATCGGTGGTGACAACAAACCCACACACACACCCGATGGCCACGCAGTTCCCTGCCCTCTCCAGTCGAGTGTACGGCGAGGAGAACAATGCCTTTGAGAACAAACTAGGCGAGTCCGTCACCGTACAAGTGGTGCCCGAGGTGGAGAGCACACGGCAAATGCTGCTCACCATTCTCGACGGGAATGTGCCCACGGTGGAGGCGCTCGTGCAGGTCATCTACGAACAACAGCAACAGCAGTGCAACGTTGGTGCTAGTGTCGATGGTGCTCACGGTGGCTCTGCCCTGACGGTGGAGCAGAACGACATTGCCATTTGGATCGATCCAATAGGTGAGAGGAGGAGGAGGATGGGCAGTGATTAGCAGCACTCTAACGGTGACATTCGCATTAGATTCCACCTCAGAGTACATCCATGGCCGGTGGCAGGTTGAGAGCGGCGAGACTGCCGAACGCATCTCGCCACATGGTCTGCATTGCGTCACCTGCCTCTTTGGCGTCTTCGACACTAAAACTGGTTTTCCACTGATCGGCGTCCTCAACCAGCCTTTCTTCAGACGGCACCTGACAGGTGCTTCCAATGGGTGCGTGTGACTGCTGCTGCTGCTGCTACCGCTGTTTATGCCGCCATTCTTGCTGACACACATTCTGACATTGACAGGTCCAGTTCCTATTCGGGACGCTGTCTGTGGGGTTACAACATTGACGGCGTCTGCCAGCATAATCTAGACACTATCCAAGTGTCCGGGGACACTCGGGCGCCCGCCTATTCCAGTCGGTCATCGCTGATACTGGTGGGAAACAAGGAGCCAAATGAGATGGAGGAAAAGCTGAAGGGAATATCTCCAACAATGTACGTTGCCGGTGCCGGCTACAAGATTCTCTGCGTCATCAGCGGAGAGGCAGACTTGCTGGTCACCTCCTCCAAAACGATCTTCTTCTGGGACTCTTGTGCAGGTCACGCCATTCTTCGCTCCCTCGGTGGTGGCATCATCGCCCTGGAGGACATTCTTCAGGTGAAGCAAGACAGCGAGACGATTGACCTGGAGAGGCTTCAGTTGCGGTACCGTCCAAAAGTCGATGACCAAACTTACAGCTGTGCCTCGTACAACCACTCAAAAGGCCTGGTAGCCTACCGTTCCGCCGAGGCTATCACAGGTGCCATCAAGGTGCTACAAAGCTGAAGTTGCCATTTTTATATACAGTTATGATTACAATAAACAACCTGAGAGGTAGTAATACTTGAGAGAGTGAGATATCACAGAATGAAAATGAGCTTATTCTCGAAAACTCCATTCTTGCCGGCACATTGGGCACTGCTGGTGGATGTGCTGTGATGTGAGCCACTTCATGATGCAGTGAATGTGAAAGCAGTGAGTGCACCTACCCCAAACTGAATAGAACTTGTGGTTAGTAAGTTGAGAACACACACCCAACCAGTGCCACGAACCTAGTGGACAGTCATCGCCGGGATTCTTGCAATCGGTGCAGCACCCGTCAAAGGCATTCCGGCAAATGCCGCAGTTGTCATCATTGGCGATCCACTTCCAAGTGGCCACCGACGTCCAGCCTGAGTAATGGACAAGGGGTTTATTAATTAGAGTGTACTGATTGTTTATTGAGTGATTTACTCTTTATTTTCACCTTCATCTTCTGGAAAACCAGAAGATTCGAGAAGTAGAAACCGGGGAAATGAAGCCAACAGCTGCCAAACAGATTACAAACAACGATGACAAATGAAATTGGAAGAGGAGAAGAGAGAAAAGAGACGATGCTCCGCCCATGCGTTTGCAATATAAGAGTTCATCCAGACTGCTCTCGAATCTTCTCGAAGAACAGGCGAACTTCCTTTGCGGAAAACATGGGAATTCTAGATGAAATCATCGAGTAACCGGCTTCTTTTGAAGCCTGTCACCATTGGAAATCTCAAAAGACCTGTAATAAGTCAAAAACTAAAAAAACATGGCCGAAATCGTCAAATTTCAAAATACACGTGCCGCCCTCTGGGACTTTATTGCGTAAGCAGTGACAATGAATATTTTTGGAGACACGTTGCACGTAAAGTAACTCTGACTGTAACACTGACTGCACTGAGCATGTTTTACAGCGAAAGATAGCCTTTACGTACGCCGACGACCCAAAGTTGGCTTCTTAGTCAGCCTCTAGAAAGTTCCAAAAGTGAGTGTGCCCCGCGTGCGCACACCGAGCGAGCAAGTATTTAGCGGCAAGCACATGCATCCGGCACTTTCATTCGCGATCTCGCTCTCGCAACGTGCACATCGCTCTCACTTTGCCTAGCGCTCTCACCCAATCTCACCACCACTCTCTCCCTTTGTTCTCAGCGTCAACCGCGTCAACCAACACCCATCTCTCCATCCAACATGCCTGAACAGGACGTTGAAACCTTCGCCTTCCAGGCCGAAATCGCCCAGTTGATGAGCCTCATCATCAACACCTTCTACTCGAACAAGGAGATCTTTCTTCGTGAGCTGATCAGCAATGCCAGCGACGCCCTAGACAAAATCCGCTACGAGTCTCTCACCGACCCAACTAAGATCTCTGAGGTCAAGGACTTCCACATTCGCATCATCCCCAACAAGGATGAAAAGACTCTCACCATCATCGACACTGGCATCGGCATGACCAAGGCCGACCTGATCAACAACCTCGGCACCATTGCCAAGTCGGGCACCAAGGCGTTCATGGAGGCCCTGCAGGCCGGAGCTGATATCTCCATGATCGGTCAATTCGGTGTGGGCTTCTACTCTGCCTACCTGATTGCCGACAAGGTGACCGTGCACTCGAAGCACAATGATGACGAGCAGTACATCTGGGAGTCCAGTGCTGGCGGCTCTTTCACCATCCGCCCCGACCCGGGTGAGCCGCTCGGCCGTGGCACTAAGATCATCCTGCACCTGAAGGAGGACCAGATCGAGTACTCTGAGGAGCGTCGCATCAAGGAGATCGTCAAGAAGCACTCGCAGTTTATCGGCTATCCCATTAAGCTGCTTGTGGAGAAGGAGCGCGACAAGGAGATCTCTGACGACGAGGAGGAAAAAGAGGACGGTGCCGAGGAGAAGGCCAAGGACAAGGAGGACAAGCCCGATGAGGCCGGAGACGAGCCCAAGGTCGAGGATGTCGAGGACGAGTCCGAGAACAAGGAGAAAAAGAAGAAGACCATCAAGGAGAAGTACATCGAGGATGAGGAGCTGAACAAGACCAAGCCCATCTGGATGCGCAACCCTGATGAGATCAACCAGGACGAGTACGGCGAGTTCTACAAGTCGCTCACCAACGACTGGGACGACCACCTGGCTGTGAAACACTTCTCCGTCGAGGGCCAGCTCGAGTTCCGCGCCCTGCTCTTCATTCCTAAGCGCGCGCCCTTCGACCTGTTCGAGAACAAGAAGCAGAAGAACAACATCAAGTTGTACGTGCGCCGAGTCTTCATCATGGAGAACTGCGAGGAGCTCATTCCCGAGTACCTGAACTTCGTCAAGGGCGTGGTCGACAGCGAGGACCTGCCGCTGAACATCTCCCGAGAGACCCTCCAGCAGAACAAAATCCTGAAGGTGATCCGCAAGAACCTCGTCAAGAAGTGCCTGGAGCTGTTTGATGAACTGGCCGAGGACAAGGAGATGTACAAGAAGTTCTACGAGAACTTCAGCAAGAACATGAAGCTTGGCATCCACGAGGACAGCCAGAACCGCAAGAAGCTCGCTGAGCTGCTGCGCTACCACACCTCTTCCAGTGGCGACGAGATGTGCTCCCTGAAGGACTACGTGTCCCGCATGAAGGAGAACCAGAAGGACATCTACTTCATCACCGGCGAGTCGAAGGAGATCGTTGCCAACTCGGCCTTCGTCGAGCGCGTCCGCAAGCGTGGCTTCGAGGTCGTCTACATGGTGGAGCCCATTGACGAGTACTGCGTCCAGCAGCTGAAGGAGTTCGACGGCAAGACCCTGGTCTCGGTCACCAAGGAGGGTCTGGAGCTGCCTGAGGACGATGAGGAGAAGAAGAAGCGCGAGGACGACAAGAAGAAGTTCGAGAACCTGTGCAAGGTGATGAAGGACGTCCTCGAGAAGAAGGTCGAGAAGGTGCTCGTCTCGAACCGCCTGGTCAGCTCGCCCTGCTGCATCGTCACTAGCCAGTACGGCTGGAGCGCCAACATGGAGCGCATCATGAAGGCCCAGGCTCTTCGTGACTCCTCTGCCCTCGGGTACATGGCCGCGAAAAAGAACCTCGAGATCAACCCAGACCACCCCATCATCGAGAACCTTCGCCTCAAGGTGGAGGCCGACAAAAACGACAAGGCCGTCAAGGACCTGGTGAACCTGCTGCTGGAGACCTCGCTGCTCTGCTCTGGCTTTGGCCTCGAGGACCCCCAGACCCACGCCTCTCGCATCTACCGCATGATCAAGCTTGGTCTCGGCATCGATGAGGATGATCTCCCCGTCGTGGAGGAAGCTCCCATTGCCGAGGAGCCCATTCCCGACGCCGAAGCTGCCGATGCTTCTCGCATGGAGGAGGTTGATTAAGTTGTTCTTCCACCCACCCATTAGAATTAGTATTCGCTCTCCCCTTTGTGTGTGAGATGCTTTCTCTCATTTACTGTAATTAATATCATTTTATTTTACTTTTAACATCCACTCAACACTTGCTATTTTTCATTTGAATAGTTGATCTGGAATCTATCTCTCACTTGAATTAAAAGTGTAGAACTCTTTATTTCTCTCTTACCATCCAAAGAGTGTCTTTGTACTTGTAGAGTTAGTTTGATATTATTAAAATAGATTTATAAAATAAACTCAAAGTGTGCTTTATTTACAAATCGGTCACCGTTCAAGATTAAAGACAATGGGGTACGCCTGGAAAGAGCCTCGCTTTTGGCCCTCCTTGTCGTAGTTGAAGAACTTGAAGCAGCTGTGGCAAAAGTAAAAGAGCGTCCCTGGAAGGCGTCGATTGTTGAGGACGATCCACTTGCTGAAGCTGAGGAAGCACATCTCACACTTTACCTTCTGTATGCTCTCCACTGCGGTGTACTTTGGGTAGCCACAGGCTAGTTTCTCAGTGGAGGCCAGAAATTGGATGTCCGTGAAGGTGAGCAGGTGCTCGCAGTTGTTGGCGTGCATGTACAAATACGGCAAGCCTAAGTGAAAGGTGAGATCTTCAAACTTGCTCTGCTCCATTGATGCTTCGGTGAAGCGGCCGATGTTCCGTTCCGCCGCCCATTTGATAATTTCCTTTGAATAGGTTGCATTTTCACACCGAGCATCGTAGTAGAAGACGTTGTTGATGAAGAAGAAGCCCATCTTCTCGTGTTTTGTGAAACTTGGCAGCGGCTCATCGGGATTCTCGCTCAAGTCAGTGTTTGAGAGAATGTCAGAAATGCAAACAAATGCATCTCGCAGTACTGTCAAGGGTTGGTTGGACAGCACTTGAATTTCTCGATCCAAAAGAGGTTTTGTCTTTTGCTGTGGTTTAGCTGTTATCGGTTTAAAGATCTGCACTGTCAGTATTGCTAAAGGTGGTCGGTTTTTAGTTGTCGGCATCGTCGCCGTCTTAGTTGGCCTTTCAAGTTTTGTGTGTCTGTACTTTGCCGTTTGGAACATCCGATATGTACTGCTCATTAGCATCCGCTCATTGTGCTCATTTAAATTTTTCAGCGTTTCCAAGTTTAGTGATGAAATCGAGTTCACTGCATCTAGTTTGTCCTCTTCAATGGAAGAACAAAAATGGTTTGGATTAATCTCTTTCTGCAGTGATTTTACCGTCTCAATTGGTATGTTCAGGTCTTGAGCATCTTGCAGTTCATTCTGCCGGCTACTGTTGGCCACAGTCCACTGTACTTCGTCGTGCAGAGCACTGCTCCAGTGCTGAATAAACTCCCGTACCGAAACTTGACGAGGGTTGACAAAAGGAAAAACCGATACCTCTTTGAGATGATTCATTTTGACTCTTGGATAAAACACTTGAATTTTGTGGAAATCAAGTTTCAAAACAAACTGTCAAGCTTGCCGACACTTTTCCGAGAGAATAATTCGGAAAGATTTCCGGATAACTTTGAGGAACAGCCTTTTATTTTTTGAAAAAAATATTGTTTTTGCTTTATTTTGTTGATGTTTGAAAATAGCTTCGGACAAAATGGTTATCTAGAAAATCAAAGGTTGCAAATTCACAGAAAAAGCACAGCAAGCATCTATAGTGAGAAGGCATTTCCAAGAGTTAAAATTTGTGAACGCAGCGAAGTTTTCTCTTTGGTAAGCTGTCCATGAAGCTGAATGGTTTTGCCTCTTCTTCCTCCTGGTCCGACTGTTGTTTGCCTAGTTGAAGTATCTCAAAGGCAACTTCTTCATTGGTGGCAGTTGATGCTGGCTTATTGATCCACGCTTCAATGGCATCCTTAAACAGATTTATCACCGGCGACTGTTGCTCTTCAAGAATCGTTTTCACAATATCCTCCAATTCGAAAAGGTGCTCATCGGAAACAAATGGCAGTTCAATTTTCATAAAAGCCACTAGTTTAGAAATGTACTCGACATTGTGGCCACATTCGCCTTCAGAAGTGGCAATGTCGTGGGCAATTTTTGGCACTGGATCCGGGCCGAGGTAGAGCGAATTGCTTGGCAATGCAACGTACACTAGAACGAGAAAGGGCTCTTCTTTTGGGTCTCGCGGATAAAAGTACGTCAACAGAGTGTCATATCCTCCAAGATGAAGTTCTCGATTGTCCAGGTACGATCGTGCAATTTGTTCATCGTTTGGCAGAAAAGCTGTGCCCCAAGTTGAGCCCTAAAGAAGTAGACAATAGTTAAAATCCGTTCGGTAAGTACAAATTGATAATACAAACCTCTTCATCTTCAATGAGCGTCACAACTCTGCCCAACTGTAAGGATAAAATAACACAAGCTCAATTAAGCTGTTCAGTGTGACTGCTTCAATGAAGACTCACCTTGTCCGGTCGACCACGGTGAACATCGCTTCCCTGGTAGAACCTTCTCGAGTAGCCTTTAATTTTGCCAATCAGTGCCTTTTTGTGCTCGAAACCCGGATTCCAAATGAGCGACCCATAGCCAAAGACCCACAGATCAGATGCCATGATATGTGTGCGAGATTGCCGAAACAAGCTTTTGTACGTAACTCAGTGAGCAGAGGGTTATCCTTCTTACAACAGTTTCGATGTAAACAGTGATCACAGCAGAACTAATTTCTAGAGTGAACAAGAAGACGTTCCTTCTTTCTTTAGCTGACGAGACTGCTTCGGCTTACGATCAGAGTTCACGTTGCTAATCTCATAATGTGCCCAGACGAGGACGGCGAAGAAAATGATTGCAAATAGTTCGTGTGCGATTAGAACATCTGAAGATGAAAGGGGTGCCGCCGACGGAGGTGGAAGTGGATGTACCAGTGGAGGCAGTGATGATCTATGAGTGAGGGTGGTGGTGGTGGTGCTAGTGGTCAGACTGCTGTACCAGTGATATCACCACTTTTTGAAACGGTTTTCACCACTGATGATAAGAGCAACTCGCGTGGTACAGTGCTGCTGTTGCTGGGTGGGCTAGTGCAGACGATGTGCTTCACGATGTCTCTCTGTCTGGCTGGGTGATCTCTTTGGCACTGCCAAAACAAACTTCCTTCTCATCTGTTCAGCCAGTGATCGGCAGACAGGCAAAGGCGGCGAGGTCCAACAATCCACCACTACACTGAATACATCCAAAGTGTCCTCGATGAAAGTGGGCAGTACCGTTCTGGCAGCATTGACTGATCGGATGGTTGGCTGTGATCAGTGGCAGTCGACTGAAACCGAAGAAGAAAAGGTTATATTATGGCAGCATTACGAAAGTCAGCTGAAGTGAGCTGGTTGTGTATTGAGTGCTTGTCTGTAGCTAAAACATTCGCTGCAAACGAGTCGCTGAAGTTACCTGGCACGAAGGGAGAGAGAGAAAGCCGCCGGTAGCACTCACCACCTGAAGCACTCGCCGAAGCACAGCAGACGTGTAATGACAATCAGAGAAATGTAAATGGCAGTCCGATTGAAGAGACTTGCTAGGATTGCTACTGCTGCTGCTGCGGCAGAGGCCAAAAAGAGCGCCACATGTGAGTTGTAGTGCTTTTGCTGGCGTTCTTTCTCTCACTCTCCACACGGCACACTGCACGCACTTACTTGGCTCGGGTGACGCAATAGACGGCACTGATTTCTTGCCCCGTAAGATTCTCCGCTGGTGTCCGGTGCTGGCTGGTTCCACCAGTCTGGCTCCACGCCGGCAGTGACTGCTCTCAGGCGGTCCAGTGCGATTCAAAGCTGATGCTGCTGCTGCTGCTGGTGGTGATGCCGTTGCCGTTGGTGGGTACACCATTCATTCTGTCTCTGAAGGAGAGAATACGCAGGCAAAGACGTGTGCCAATGCTGCGCTAGCGTAGCGGCAGACGAAAATAGAGTGTACTGAGGCTGTCTGCCCAAGAACGGCACGCCTGGAATGGAATGGAATTATCGCCAGCAGCGGCAGTAGCACTCTTTCAGCGACTGCCTTCTGCGCGCACTATACACAATCAGTTGAAGAAGCAGTGCAGTCACTGCCAACGAACTGTCGCTTGCTTGCTTGCTTGTTCTGACTGCTGCTGTTGTACAGCACAGCGCTGTGGCGGTCCCTTTGCGCGTGCCTGGCCTCTGAACCAGGATTAGGTTGTGCAACTGTGTGGGTGAGTGGGTGCTAGCAAGCACTGCTTCAGTGGGTTCTTGCTGACGATGACCTGTGTAGAACTTCGGTAACAAGAAGGANTGCTTGCTTGTTCTGACTGCTGCTGTTGTACAGCACAGCGCTGTGGCGGTCCCTTTGCGCGTGCCTGGCCTCTGAACCAGGATTAGGTTGTGCAACTGTGTGGGTGAGTGGGTGCGAGCAAGCACTTCTTCAGTGGGTTCTTGCTGACGATGACCTGTGCAGAACTTCGGTGACAAGAAGGCGAGGCCGGTGCAAAGGGCGCTGCAAGGGGTCCAGTTTCACCGATTATCGTTCATGTATCTGTGATGCACTCCCTCTTTATCAGCACAGCGAGCTGTCTGTGACGTGTCATCGATGGCGAAGTTGCGTTGTTGAAGTGAGGGAGAGTGTCACATCGACGTGGAAATATTTTATGTGCGTGCTCCCTTTCGCAGCAGGTCAGCCAACAGTTGTGCGTGCTCTACAGTGTATACACTACTGTGCTTTGAGTTTGTACCGGTTGCTGCATATGAGGATAAAACGACAATTTAAAGCATAAAGTTAATTTTTGTGTGCTCTACATTTCAAGGAAGGACGCTTACAAAGTACCAGTTGGACGACAATCAATGCGAATTGAACAAGGCAAGGTTAGCTCTGTGTTGATAGAACTTAGTCAACCATGAAGGGGATGATAAAGTGACCATGATTATCATTACTGTTTGGCGGTTGCAATACTCAATTGATTGCCACTTCACCGACTCATCATTTTCCTTGGAAAAGTGATTTCAAAAAGTACACTAGTGCAATTGAGAGACAACAGGTGGCAGATCGGAGATGAAAAATGCATTTTTCTTTTTCAACAAAAGTAATTAAAGTTGGTTAATGGCATTTGTAAACTTATACACAGTGCTGATTAAAATACAAAAAAATGGCCAACAATGATATTGATCTAAAGCATATGGCCAGAGCAGCTGCGACTTTTGACTGGACTTTGCTTAGTGGATTACCTCTGCCCTGCTCTGTCCATCAGATCCGCTGTCCATCTGCTGCTGTTGCTGTTGGTGTCTTAATTTGCCCTTTCGATTACGTGTTGTGTGGTGTGTTATGTCACCGACACATGGTCAGCAGCAAAATGAAAGAGAGAGAGAGAGAGTGAGTGAAACAGTTGAGCCATGTTCAGTTGTAGAGTTTACCTTCAGGCAAATATTTGCTTTGTGGGCCTGCTTCATCATCATCCGCAGGAGCAGCACAGCTCCAGTGGCATGTCATCTCGAGCAGTGCTTGTTCGACAGCTTCTCAAATCGATGACAAATGACACTGAGTCGGTTAATCGGCGTCTGTTTACCTTGAAGGTAGTACCACCAATGCTAGTCGGGAGTTGTTCAACCTGGCGCTATGACACCATTTGCAAAGCGGACGGAAGCACACTGCCCACAGTTATACTTGCGACTATTCCAATTTGCACTTTTTTGTTGCCAAAATGAAGACTGGGTTTGCGTTTAAACGGGTTGAACTTATCATTCGAGCGACACCTAAGTACCCATAGGTGAACAAACTAAAATGACTGTTTAGGACGAAACAGACCTCAGTTCAGTGGAAGCGTCGGCGGGAGGCTAGAAAGCACTCTCACAGAGAATACACTGATCGTCTAGAAGTGCCACCCAAGTGAATGACTTCCCTACCTCGATGCGCCTTTTGTCCGGTGCGCTTTTGTTTCTTTGGTGATCGTCACTTTTTTCTTTCAGCTTCATTCACTGCAATGTGTATGTGGCTATGCAAATCGATTCATAAATTACCCTAATTTGACAGAAATAGTGTTCGCTAGGTGGTCAAAGTGTCAGATGCTTTACCGAGATAGATTTTAACATCAGTGACTGGGCTTAAACACTTTCCGAGAGTTACCCTGGAATTGATTGAGATATGGCAGTGATCAGAAGCTATTCGTATTCTTGTAATCCAATGCTATTCTTCCACCAACTGCGCTGAAGTTAGAAGCAGAGTATAATGGTTTCTGGCATTAGGACACATTGGCACCTTCTTCATTTGTCGGCGAGCATCACTTTTTGGCAGCAATTGCACGGTTAGCTGCTCTTGCTCGACGCGCCGTCAGTGCTATTGTTTATTGATGAATTATTGAAATGTTCAATCATCGCTAGGAGACGAGATAAATTATGGAATATAGACGGTAATGGGCGCATTAGTAGAACAGCAGAAGCGGCAGCACTCTTCTGACGACTGCTTCAGAACTGTCGATAATCGATTTTTCTTCTTTGCCGACCGCCAATTGCCCGTCTCCGTCTGCCTCTGTGCCAATTGTTCGTGTGCCAACTTTGCTTTCTATAGGAATGATGATGCAGCGGAAAATAGTATGCTTGTGCTCCTTGAACGCTTCTTCCAATCGGTGGCCAGTTCGATTATGATTACGATTTATAGTTGAGTGAGTTACCACTATTACTTCTGTTACTCAAATGCAGACAGCCAAACAGCAGAGAATTCTGTCTGCCTTATTCATTCCATGTAATTCAATGTCGGTGAGGCGCCGATGCGGCACATCGACACAGTGGCATTGGCAACAATTTGAGTGGTTCAATCAATTAATTCACTCATTCAGCGCACTCAACTCAACAGCCACTTTGCAGTTGATTCAATTTGCTGGTGTGCTTTTACTATCCTACATACTGCGCTAATTCACACCTCTCCAATCAGGGAACAATGGCATTCGTGTACAGTTGAAAGGAGTCCAACTCATTCCGGTGCTAGTCTAGTCACCAGTTTCAAATAATTTCTAGTCAATGTCCATCTCATTAATTGACTATTTGTTAGAGAGTATAATTTCCTACAACAGAAATCGTTCTTGGCGTTAATTCTTTTCCCAACACAGGACACTTCATTCTCACGCTGTGGTCACTGGGCAACATTCACGGCGGGCCACCCTTTGGCAAGTTTGTCTGTCTGTCTCATCGTCACCGATCAAATGCGAACGATCTCTTTTTGTTGCTTCTTTTTCTTCCTTCTCTATTCTATTCTTAAGAGACTTGTGGCGCAATTGTGTCAGTAGTGGACAACAAGTGGACGAGATGACAAATTCGGTTCGGTTAGTGACGCTTCATTTGACGGCAATTCTCACTGACAGTCGGTTCTGTGTAGTGTTCGACTTGTAGTGGGCCTAGATAGAGCGGCGCAGATTCGTCTCGCGTGCACTGAAAATGAAGGCACCGAGAGCAAAGGGCTTACCTGGTCGGCACCGGTGACAACAGTGGTCACTGGTGGCTGATCTGCTTCATTAGGCAGCGATCAGCACACGCAGAGATTTTGTCACTACTGCAGCTGACTGACTGATCAGTAATCGCTAATTGGAAGCCTGCTGCTCCACACGGCCCAATATGAAGTGTGCCATTAG